TGCGAATTTGTAGGGCATCGCCGAGATAAGAATTTAAGGCTGACAATAGTTGGCGCCTTCTTAATTCTTTTACGCTTAAGTATAAGGTTTCGAATAATCCGCCACTTTAAATACACATCAATCACGTAACATTAATTTTGAAAAACTAATTAAGGGATATACGGCGTTGCAACAAGAGCGCTTTTGAGAAATAGTATATAATGATGATGATATTATAATATACATACGAACCATTTTCGTGAGCTAAATGGCAGACAAAAGATTACATAATCCCTAGGACTGAAACTTAAAACATCATCGGACAAAATTGATGCACTCACTGTAAAATGTCTACCACAGAACAGCAACGATTACAAATATAATAGCGCTTTGTCCAAGAAAGTAGTACAAGATCACAGAAGACTGGCGTAAGGTAAAACCCAAAGCATTAAGACTCGCACGCAGTGTTTGACGCCATGTCTTCAACACTTCTGATATTGTCAAGTTCACTCGCAGTTTTTTACACCGTAGTTTGGGCTAAGTTTGGCCCTCAGGAGGCATCCCTGAGTCGATTAACTCCTGCCTCGGAGAATGTGAGTCGAATTACAATCGGTCGGGGGTGGACTTGAACAGATTGTTCCATTCTATGTAAGCACTCTGAGCGATGAGTCGAAACCTCTTACTTCGAGTGCGGGAAATGTCTACAACAAAAGGATGAAGGCTAATGAATAAACTTGAAGTAAAGATACGTATGTAAAATATATCATATCCCCAAACGTATGTAAAAACGAATCACCGTTCGCATCGAATACGTTGCAAGGCTTAATAAATGACACAAAGCATATCCTTATTGTCTTGCCATAAGAATAAATTGAAAAACTGCGAGAATATTCCGTCACGATGTTCGAATCCGAGTTAAAAACACAACTTGGATAGATTTTTGTTATGTTGTTAACTTAGAATGGTTAATTATTAAACCAATTATTATTTATTAGCGCCCGATCTGTCGAGTATATAATACAGACAAGAAATGCTTCTGTAATTCGTTTAAATTAAAAATTTACATTTATTTATTGCCTGTACGACCGTCTTTTGTGGTATTAATTCGTCTAAACAACTACTTCATATACTGTATTTGCATAGCATTTTTTCTATTCAAAAGTATGTACTTAAGCTTATTATGTGAGCATACGATGTGTAGAGGTTTTTAATAAGTTACAAAATAGTTAAAATGTGCGGTCTCGATCGGGGAAGAACGACCAGGATTAATGGAATTATATTTCGTGCTTTTATTTCTTGGGGGAGGTTGCCGAATGCCCCCTCATTTTAGGGGTGGCCAAGCAGCTACAATCCCTTTGGAAGTCAGTCACCATCGGGTGGGCCGTTAACTCGATTCCTCTTCTTTGATCTATTCGTACAAAACCTCCGATTCAACTTAAACGGAATATTGAATGGAAATGCAATAACTTGAGTAAAAAATTGTTATTTTTTTATTTATAGCATTACAAAGGTTTGAAATAATGCTCTTTCCACTCTATAGCCAAGCGTGTTGATTTCAACATATGATTAATATTAAGTAATGTATTTTAAGAATCAATTTCCTACCAATCAAACACAACTTTTGAGAAAGTTATTAAGATAACTTGCCTCGTGACAGCAAAATAAACAAAAGTTCATGAGTACAGGACACACTGGCAGAATATACATTTACTCTTTTAATGTATTGCGGTAATTCAGTGTTGCCGATAAAACATAAATTTTAATTAAAAAATTAATACTCACTTCACATGAAAATACTCTGATGGGATACGTAAAACTCAGGTTGTTTATGACACGGTAAATTTACAATTTACGGTTTGCTAACGACTGCTAACTGATTAGGGGCCGTTGTTTAATTGGCATCATGTCATCAACATCATGATGGATATTAAATAAAGTAATAAGCATATTGCTCAATACGACTAATGGGTTCTCTGATCCCCAAACCTTGGGAATAAAAACTATTAAAAAAGCAAAAAAATATTCTTCTTAATTTCAGAGGCCGCTTTTGTACCCAATTATAGATTGATACCAGAGTGTTTGGTGCAAACGAGCAGATGATCGCCGTCCATGGACATCCGCGAGAACTCTAATGAAACACAAGTGTCATACTGCCACTTCACGCTGGTCTTCTGTGTGCCCGTGGTGCTTTCCCGAACGAGAGAGCCTAACATAAACTGCATAGCCCTAGCAACAAAAGTACAAAACTGGAAGCGTCTAAGCAACGGTAAATAATCAGATAGCGTCTGCGTAGCCCGAGTTAACTGTGGGATAACATTACCATCACAACGTAAAATAATTCAATCTGTTCCGTGGCTATGGAAAATTATTAGCAAGTTCCTAGTTAAAAGTAAACAGATGATAAAAGTGTTATTTTTATGTTTGAAGGCGTCATACATATCACGTTGCATGAAAGTGTGAATAATTATATTAAATATCATATATTTAGAATATTAAAGACACGTGCGAAAGAATATCAGGAATCGGTCATAAAAATATCAAATAACTGAAAAAAAAAAAAACTGAAAAATGTGTTACGCCAACCCTAATCGGCAATTCTTTATAGCCTTACATTTAATGAAAGAAGCTAAGTTATATAATTATATTCTCTGTCCAACACGTTAAGGAGATTTAGACTTTAAAAATCTTTCCTAAACGCCTTAAATGCGATGCTGTGTCATATTATTTATTCTTTATACCAATTTTTTGAATATTATTAAATTACCGCCTATTCAAACTTCCTTTAAATTCAAAATAAATGAAAACGCTTCGAAGTCTGCAAGAACAAATTAGCGGACGAACATATCGGAGATATAACAGAGTCGCCTGGATGCGTCAATTAAATTTTTGGTTCGCAAAAAAATTTGTACCGTCTGCCATTTTTTTGCGTAACCGTATTTGATGCAACCATTCATAAATCTTTTAACGCGACACCAACAAATTTCGGATCAGGTTTTATTCCATTGATGTTATTAGATTTTCCTGTTTAATTGACGTCGTAAAACTCTGCTGTGTATCAAACAGACAAATTGCAATTAACACCGTGGAACAAGTTTGTGTGGTAATAAAAAATTAAAGGGTCACTATTACGTCCTATGTTCGTTTGTTAACATCAATTTATTTAAGTATTAAACAGATATAAGGCTTTCCTTCCAAGCATATCTAATAATTAAACATTACTTAAAGCTACAATTCCTTACAATTGCGAATGTAACAAGAAAAAACAATTTTTTTTCTTAATATATTTTTTTTATTTAATTCTTTTATTGACTTCAATAAAAAAAAAATATTGTAATAGAGAGTTATCATTCACGTTTGGCTCTTCATTCAGGTAGCGAAGCAAAGTAAGCCAGTAGTATACAAGTGCCAAAAACACAATGTGCAATGAGAATTAAATTTCGAAAGTAAGATTTTCGAGTTTCTTAGCCATCTATTTTTCTGTTATTATACTTTGACACGGAATAACTACGTAGTGAAACATGTTTAAAAAGATCTATATATTTACAAACGAATACGCGTTTAATCATTGGCAGCGGTGCGTTGCTCAATTTCTCATTATATCAACTGGAATCAGTTAGGTAAGCCCGTCCGTGGGAAATTCTTTCGCTTTCACCCGCATTAGCAAAGTTGTCGCGTGGTTTTTGCAACGGAACAATCGGCCCGAAGCCAGTGTGCGTTGGGATAGAATAACATTTGTTTCAATCGCAGTTATTGATTGAATTCCTGTGGAATTTTCCCTTTTGTCTATCCACTATCAATAAATAGCCGTGAATATTTCCGGAAATATTCCTACACGGTATTATCAAGTCCCAAAATAAGGCACGTTTGTACTAAGCTTGCTAAACTATGCATACTACTACATATTTTAACATACCTTTCTTTGTACATAAATACATATAACAGATATAAACACCCAGAGTACAGACAATAGACAGGGGATAGTAGCAGGAATTAAAGCTTTGAACCAAAACAAGACACCTTTGTTTTGGTTCAAAGCTTTAATTGACTCGTTATGTCTATTTTGATAAGGTTACAAGTTCATAGTTAATATTGCAGAAAATGAAGTCATTTAAAACTGTTGAGTTGGACAGCAATGCTATTTATTTCGTACCAATGTTGCTAGGGTCTTGGCATATAATGTAGATGTTAGTTACTCCCCAACTTATCTTCTTTAGATAACGTAACAAATCTCCATATCTTAATCACACGTATTTAAAGTATATATTTATTTAAATTAATGCCATACTTCGGTATCAAAGATGTTTTATTTCTAATACAAAAAATAAAGGACTGCAAATAAAAAATCTCTTTAAGAATATCCAATGAAAACATACAATTTTTCGAATTTATAAATGCGTACAAGACCCTCGAAATGAGATGTATTCGCAAATGTGATTTAATGTTTTGAATCTAAATGTGGATTGGTTCGTTGCAAATTATTAGTGGACCTTTGACTTCGGTCTGTAACCTTTCGGGCACACCTTGTGGCATTTTGGGTGAAACCGGTCCACGCCCTCTAACAACACGAATTCTTTGAGAAAACTTTGTTTGCGTGATATCTTTTGGTGTTGTATACGATCTTATGTCGATGTGACATCGTGATCAACCCAAATATTGTCGTAAATGTTTTATGAATCCAAAGATTCTATTTGCTAGCAAGATTCAAATTTTTATGAGGTTTGTGTTTCCTTGCTTTTACAGTACTGTTACTTCTAAAGCGGTTTGCTCACAAGGAGACGCTTCATCTGGTGTTGCGTGAGACAGACTTTCGACAAACTTCATCTTTCGCAAAAAAAGTATCTTTTCTCTATTTCATATGAATTGCCTACCCATAAATACTTGTTTGGTACAGGTTTACGCCACCGTCCCCCAGCATATCGTTTGTCTGGATTATGCGCTTAAGACGTCCTCTACTGACTTTTGCCCTAAAATTGGCATCACATAAATATCGGTGTAAAATACTTGAGAACGTATCCACTTACCGAACTCAATTCCTCATAGTCCACGCCGTGCGGCTGCGATTCGTTGCCCAGCACCCGCCACAGCCTCAAGCCGTCCTTCTTCAACAGGCCCTCCTGCTTCTTGAGGACCAACTTCAGCACTCTCCCGAACGCTTCCAGCTCGATCTTGTGCACGTCCTCCTCTTGGTCCACCACCTCGTGTTCTTTGTCACGCAACGTGTCACTTTCACTCGCATCACTGTCACTTAGCTCACTGGAATTCGTCACACCAAACTGTACGCTCACTGTGCTATTCAGATCGCCTATTATGTCGACGTCGTTGATGTACTCCCTCGCTTTGACGAACATCTCGTCGTTCAGGAGGGAGGGGGGGTTGGTTTCAGTCTTCCACGGCTTGGACTTTTCGTGCGGCACTTTGCCTTGACTCGTGGCGTGGCTGTTCGCCTTGTGGCCAGCGGGCACGTGCCGCCTCGCCAGATGGTGCGTCAGCTGAACCAAGTGGTACTCTGGAACGTGGCTGTGGTGTTCTACGTGGAACACATTCCGCAGTTCGTCGGTGGTCATCTGCTCGTGTATCTGCAACGAGGGAAAAAGGTTTTGTTGCAATAAAATAATAAAAACCATAATAGGGAGTAAATGGCGACGTAATTTTGATGTTGTGTGATTTGTGGCAACTGTTATAGACGCAGTTGAAAATGAGTCTTTACGCATTTAAATTCTTTAATCTAAGGTATATTTAATGTAATGAAACATATATTAAATAAACAACGGCAATTTATTTTATCAACAAAGCAACAAAATGTTAAACTTCACGTACACATTTTCACTTGTAAGTTTGATCTATTAAAGGGTTCCATAAATATTTTAAAATGTCTTAAATTATTTACATTTCAGCCTTTTATTAAATATGTTATTTTACTCTTTTCTATTTAATACTAAAAATACATTTTTTTTATATTTTTACTCAATACATTCTTTGAAAATATATAAAATTCCACAAGTTTTTGTATACATACCCATGTCATTGTATATTGATCGTATTGCTTCCATTTTTAGTTTATTTTAATATTCAGCCTTCAGAGGCCTCGGAGATTGCTGGCCAGTTAAAGCGCATATCCGTATTGGAATTATTTTTTATTTTTATTCAAATGTCAGGTCCGAGACGCGAGAGCCTTGGTTGCGGTCAACACTACTCGAAGCGTGCCTTTCTCGACATGTGCCTAGATTTTTGTGATAAGCACTTTGTTTATAAACACCTAGGTGTCAATATTATAAGCCTAGATTGATTAGTTTATTGTGCGCAGCTGACATTTTTGATGGTATTTATGTTATAGTTAATATATAAATAGTAATGATCTGTATATCGGTTTATTTAAATGTACGTATATTATATTAGTAGCCACCAACTGGTGTGGATAGCACTTATATTCGTCAATAATGATGATTTGGACATCACTAAATCTTTGAATGTGGCAAATATCTGTTATATAAACCTTGATTGTGGAAAGGGAATTACAATGTCGGTGGAGGACGTTGTAGATGAAGAATATTAACAAATTAGTGATTATTAAAGGACGGTGGCATAGATGACATAAATCCGATATCCACGTATGTGGCTGTATGGCAATGTTTGAAACAAAATAGATAGGCATGCAGCGTGGAAAATTAAAAAGTCGTAATAAAATAAAATTGATTTTCAAACAATATATAAGCGAAAGCTACCAAATTTCAACCAATAAGCAAAAGAATTTGATTTATTGGCAGTGATACTGAACTGAAATTTATTTCCTAAAATATATTCTGACGAGTCTAAGTCAGCGATCAAAACTCTTGTCACTTACTATCAACTCAACGTAGCGATTTCAGTTACAAACAGACGGTGAAAGGTTCGCAACGGAAACATGATAAATTCAATTCAGCATCTAACATTAAATGCGTGATAGATTTCGTAGATTTGATTGAATTAACACCGTTAAATTCCCGCCGAAATTCGTAAGGACCGCGGCGAATTCGGTCGCGTTCGGAATTAGCGCTAACGGACTAGTGACGGTCACGGGCCGCTCGGAACGGAACCGAGACCGAAGGTTGCAACTCTAGAAAGTTAAACGATACCGACCAATGCAGCAATTGTTTCGAAGGTTCTGGAATTAAAATCATTTAGATTAACTTGTAAAGAATGGATCAAGTGTCTGGGGCAAGGATCCTTGATCTGAATTACGGGTTCGAGCCTAATTGGAGTACAGGAGCGATTTTTCTGTTTGTTACAAGCAAAAAATCTGTGTCGTGTTTGTGTTCGATAACATGACAATCTCATCGCCACTTATTACTGGGATTCGATGTGTTCACTAAAACAAATGACAGCTTGCTATAACGTGATGAAATTTTTAATCATTGTCACATTCACAAAGTAGGTACTCTATCAAGCCGAAAGGAAGCTCCGAATTCATTTAGAGGGCCGAGCTGAAATCAATGAGACAGATCACAGTGTTGTTCTACTATTGTCTAACTCAAGATACATGTCATATGACAAACTCAAGAAACATGTCATATGACATTATAACATTGGCGCGAAAACGCGTCCTGGTTGAAATGGTTCAAGGATCGCTGGGGCCACGCCCTTATAGGATACCACAACTAATACCAGCATAATGCAGCCGTGTTATGACTTGTGAATAATTGGTACCGGAGGTCCGACAACAATAACCGCCACATTCCTTAGTTATTCTCATTGATAACATTCAAATCAGTTTTGATTATTCTTGCCTTCTGGTCAACTGTTACAAAACATTAAATAAGTACCTTCTTATTAACTCTTACATGTCTAATACTTACGCGAATTCTAAACGTTATTTTATGAAACTATTTTTTACATGGTCAAACATGGTCATGAATATGGGTAAGCATTCAAAATGATGAGAATTAAAATAAGAACGGGAATAGAAATTTAACTTTGAATATAAAATCAATAAAAATAATTCCATTAGTAAATCTCAGTTCCATTTATTAAATCTCATTGTTAATTTATGGATTAAGTTTTGCACTATGCGTTTATAGACAATTGTTGTTTTTAATTTTAACTTTAACACTTAATTGCTGCAGGTGCTGAACAATTGGTCTCAGTGGCGAAGGTCTTGGGTCAATTCTACAGAAACGTACTCAAATCGATCCGTATGTCATGTTCTTTTTGCTTATTTGTCTGCAACACAGAATTTATGCCGCGGTCTAGATAAAAGTGGCTACCAAGTAATGTCGACAACAACTCAAGAAGTTCGATTTTTTATTATTTTTAGGCGTATCTGCTATCTTTCAACAGTCACCTCTCACTGACTTCCTCATAATTAGGGACGGTCGCGAACCTTGCAGTATATTCTGCATTTCTTCCTTATAACACGGATAAACCCAATGTTACGTAAACAAGCTTTCTCGATCCGCGCTTGCCATATACATCTAAAACACGAGCAACCCATTTGCAGTCCATATTGGCGCAAGAAGTTTCGTGTTATGCAACAAGTTCCTCTTAGTTTCTATCCGTTATGTTATTGGAAGATTGCATAGTGCAAGTTTGATTAGGTTAAATTGAATGAAATATATGTATAATAGGGTAGTTTTCTATCGCTACCAAAGACAATAAAAAAGTTCAACTCCTGCAATTAGCGGGAGTAATTATTTAACTTAATTTTTTAACCTAAAAAAAGAAAATGCTTTTGTCTATTGTTAGTTTTGAAACACTTTGAGCTGTACATATTTATGTTAGCTGTGATGTAAATATGGTTTGAGAGATAATGAACGACACGAATATTCCTTCCTTCATAGCAATAAGTGTTTTCTTTGAACATCATTTTCAATTTACGATAATGTTAGCGAAGACCACTTGCATTAACTCTAGCAAATAATAACTCTAGCATACCATTGATATTAACTCTAGCAAAGTTAGCTTTACTATATAGTATAAAACTAAGTCGTCCCGTCGTCTGTCTGTACCTGTATATGCTTAGATCTTTAAAACTACTCAACGGATTTTGATGCGGTTTTCTTTAATAGATAGAGTGATTCAAGAGGAAGGTTTTAATGTATAGTTAATGAATAATATAGTAGAGAAACACTGATAATTTTAGAGGTTTCTAATGCGATGTCGAAAACAAACATTCATTATTGCACCCGTGCGAAGCCGGGGCGGGTCGCTGGCTCATCTAATAAATATCAAAAAATCTGCCAGAAGTTGTACGTTTCGACATAATTTCCAATTCATTTACCTCAACAAGCGATTGCACATTGCATAAGTGGGTAATCGAAGTATTTTGTCTGTTTCCGATGCCAGTGAATCGCTAATAACTACAATGTTTTTTTCTCTTACATCAAATCATAATTCGAACGTCCGGCCGCGTGAAGGCCTTGTTAAGTTGCGACACGCACGAAAATTATCGTTAAAACAAAACATTAAACCGTTCTAAATTTTATCCCCTACTATCTCGGGTGGCCCATTAAAGATAATGGCTGTGGAAACGTTGAAGTCACAAAGCGCGCGAAAATCGTTCGCAGCTGTGTTTTAGCGCGAAAGCGTCTGACATTCGATTAGCCTCCATTTTGTTCTTGCTCGACTTGACTGCCATCTCGACTCGACCTTGCTCCAGAAAGGCACCGGTTCGTTTCGCAAGTTGGTGGGAAAATTCGTTCATCGGCTGACTCGGATTTTGATTCCATCAGTCGTTTTGGCACATCTAAGATTTATTACATACATTTGTCTGTTTTCAACAGGCTGTAGCGTTATATATTGCAATTGTCATTGTTGCAAATCGTAACTTCACACGTGTAGATTCAGAATTGCAATATATTACGCATTCTAATTAAATTAAAATTTCTTACTACACAACAATATATCAGAAAATGGGTTTAATTTTTATACGATTATGTTAATTATTTCTATACAATATATTTATTATTCTACATTGTAAATGGCATATTCACATGTACTAGCGAAAAATGCTACACAAACGTTATTCTATTGTTTTATTAATCACTAGCTACTGCCCGCGACTACGTCTGCGTAGAATAGGCTGAAGGCGAAACATTCAGACAGAAAGATAGATATACATAAAAATATGTAAGTATATAAATTATAGCCTATGTCTAATTCTGATGTATAAGCTATATTATTGTAAAGTTTAATTAAAATCCATTCCTACTGAATGCGTATTTGCGTGAAAGAGTAACAAACATTCATCCATACATACAAACTTTCGCGTTTATAATATTAGTAAGGATTTTCCTATCATACATAATTGTAATACAGATATGCCCTTGATAAATAATATATCATAGTTCCTTTCATTGTGCCTAATACACACATAGATCGAGCATTGTTTGACGGGTCATTGTTTCCGAACAACGAACTCGTTTTTGCATCGATTTATGCATTTACATACAAATACAAACAAACGGATTCAGGGCTTTTGTAAAAAGATCTACTTAATTGTTTATAAAAACAATATTTTTGTTATCCTATATCATAGAAATATCAAACTATGTAAAGGTTTGTTAACAATCTTAATTTATTTCAATGCTTATTGAAATGCATA